TCAAGGAAGAAATCAAAAAGGAAAACCAGAAAATATCTTGAAACAAACAAAAATGGACACAGAACATAATAAAACATATGGAATACAGCAAAAGCAGCTCTAAGAGGAAAATTTATAATGCCAAATGCTTATATGAAGAAAATAGAAAGATCTCAAACAACATAATTTTATACCTCGAGGGAGTTTAAAAAGAACAAACTAAGCCCAAAGTAAGCAAGAGGAAGGAAATAACAAAATCAAAGCAGAAATAAATAAAAATGGAACCTAGAAAAACAGTAGAATAGATCAATAAAACAGTTGGTTTTTTGAAAAAATAAAATTGGCAAACCTCCAGCTAGCCTAAGGAAAAAAGGAGAGAACAGGTTTACAAGAAAAACACAAACCCATTCAAAAGCGGGCAAAGGACATGAACAGACACTTTACAAAAGAAGATATTAATGAGGCCAACAAACGTGAGAAAATGCTCATCATCACTGGTCATTAGAGAAATGCAAATCAAAACCACATTGAGATACCATCTCACACCACTTAGAATGTCAGTCATTAAAAAATCTGGAGAAAACAGATGCTGGAGAGGATATGGAGAAATAGAAACACTTTTACACTGTTGTTGGGAGTGCAAATTAGTTCAACCATTGTGGAAGACAGTGTGGTGATTCCTCAAGGACCTAGAAATAGAAATTCCATTTGACCCAGCAATGTCATTACTGGGTATATACCCAAAGAATTATAAATTGTTCTATTATAAAGACACATGCACACATATGTTCATTGCAGCACTGTTTACAATAACAAAGACCTGGAGCCAACCCAAATGTCCATCATCAATAAACTGGATAAAGAAAATGTGTCACATATACACCATGGAATACTATGTAGCCATAAAAAATGATGAGTTCATGTCCTTTATAGGGATATGGATGAATCTGGAAACCATCATTCTCAGCAAACTGACACAAGAACAGAAAACCAAACATGGTATGTTATCACTCATAGGTAAGTGTTGAACAATTAGAACACATGGACACAGGAAGGGGAGCATCACACACTGTGGTCAGTGGCGGTGGGGGGCGGCTAGAGGAGGGACAGCTGGGGTAGGGAGGGCAGGGAGGGATAATGAGGGGAGAAATACCAGATATAGGTGATGGGGGGATGAAGGCAGCAAACCACCTTGCTATGTATGTACCTATACAACAATCCTGCATGATCTGCACAAGTACCCCAGAACCTAAAGTACAATAAAAAAAAAAAAAGAATTCAAATAAAATTATAAATGAAAGAGGAGACATTACAACCGATACCACAGAAATGTGTCTATAACACAACTAGTTAAAATAATATAATAATTGTAATAATACAAAGAATTATATGTGTCTGTTGTAAGACAATGTATTGTCCTCTAAGACCTATTATAGGACAACAAATTGAATAACCTAGAAACAAATGAATAAATACCTAGAAAAATATAAGCAACCAAGACTAAATCATCAAGAAATAGAAAATAGGTTGAATCAGTAATCAAAAATCTTCCAAAAAAGAAAAGCCTAAGATCGCATGACCTCACTGGTGGAATTCTATCAAACATTTAAAGAATTAACCCTGATGCTTATCAAACACTTGCATAAAATTAAAGAGGAGGGAAAACCTCTAAACTCACTTGATGAGGCCAGCATTACCTTGATACCAAAGCCAGGCAAGGACTCTCCAAAAACACAAAATCATAAGTTAATCTTCCCTATTAACGTAGATGCAAAAATTCTCAACAAAACACTAGGAAACTGAATTTAATAGCACATTAAAGGGATAATACACACGATCAACTGGGATTTATCCCTGGGATGTAAAAATGGTTTAACAATCAATAAGTATGATATGCCACATTAACAGAAGGAAAGACAAAAATCATACAATCATCTTAATGAATGCAAAGAAAGCATTTGACAAAATTTGAAATTATTTTATGATTTAAAAAAACTCTCAACCAATTAGGGAGAGAAAAGTTGAAAGCCCTTCCTCAAAGCTCAGGAACTCAAGGATGTCCTTTCTTCACTTCTATTCAACACAGTACTAGAAGTCCTAGGCAGAGTAATTAAGCAGCAAGGAAACTAAAAGCATCTAAGTTGAAAAGGAGTAAGTAAAAGTGTCCATTTGAAGATGACATCACCACATACTTAGCAAATCCTAAAAACTCCACCAAAAAGTGTTAGAATAAACAAATTCAGTACAGTTGCAATTTATAAAACCACCATACAAAAATTAGCAGTGTTTCTATACAAAAAAATGAACTATCCAAAAAGAAATTAAGAATGCTGTCTGATTTATAATAGTATCAAAAAGAATAAAATACTTAAGAATAAATTAACCAAGGTGAAGAATCTAAACAGAACCTGTAAGATACTGATAAAAGTAATTGAATAAGAAACAAATAAATGGAAAGATATGTTCGTGAATGCAAAGAATATTATTAAAATGTACACATTCTTCAAAGCTATCTACAGATTCAATACAATCTCTATCAAAATTCCAATGGCATTTTCTACAGAAAAAAAAATTATAAAATTCTTATGGAACTACAGAAGACTCCAAATAGCTAAAACAATCTTAAGCAAGAAGAACTAAGCCGGATGCATCACATTATGTGATTTCAATTTATATTACAAAGCTGTAGTCATCAATTAAGTATCATCCAGGCATAGAAACAGACAGATAAACCAATGGAACAAAATAATCCAGAAATAAATCCAGGCATAAACAGTCAACTAACCTTCAACAAGGGCTACAAGAATATACAATGGAGTAGCAATTGTCTCGTCAATAAATGTTGTTGAGAAAACTGGGCATACTCACACAAAAGAATGAAATTGGACACTTGTCTTCCACCATATGCAAAAGTAAATTCAAAATAGATTCACAAATTTTTTCCATATGCCTGTTAGCTATTTATTTGTCATCTTTTGAAAAATGCCTTTTTGGGTCTTTTGCCTTTTTAAAAATCAGCTTATTTCCCTGCTATTGAATTGAGTTCTTTATATATTTTGAATATTAAATCTTCATCAGATATATAATTTGCAAATTTTTTCTCCTGTTCCATCAGTTGTCTCTTTACCCTGTTGATTGTTTCCTTTGCTATGCAGAAATGTTTTAATTTAAGGTAATTACAGGCTCAACATCACTAATCATCAGGGAGATCCAATTAAAACCAAGAAGAGATATTACCTCACATCTGTTAGAATGGCTATTATCAAACATATGAATCATAACAAGTACTGGCAAGGATGTTGGGAAAAAAGGAAGCTTTATACATGGTTAGTGAGAATGTAAATTAGTACAGCTAAGATTGGAAACTATTGTGGTTCCTCAAAAAATTAAAACTAGAACTATCATATGATACACCAGTCCCATTTCTGGGTATATATCCAAAGGATACAAAATCAGTGTGTTTAAGAGATATCTGCACTCCTGAGTTCATTATAGCCTTACTCACAAAATCCAAGAGATTAAATTAACCTAAGTGCTCATCAATTTGTGAATGGATAAAGAAGAGTGGTATATATACACAATGGAATACTATTCAACATTTAAAAAGAAGAAAATGCTGTCAATTGCTAAAACATGGATGAATCTGGAGGACATTCTGTTAAATGAAATAAGTCAGGCACAGAAAGACAAATACTACATGATTTCACTTATATAAGACATTTTAATAATTGAAACTCACAGAAGCAGAGAGTAGAATTATGGTTACCAGATGCTGGGGAGTGAAGAGACTGGGGAGATGTTGATCAAAGGATACAAAATTTCAGTTAGACAGGAAAAATAAGTTCAAGAGATCTATTGTACATCATGGTGACTATAGTTTATAACCATACATTGTATAACTGGAAATTCCTAAGAGAGCAGTCTTAAGTGGTCTTGTAACAAAAAGTAAGTATATGTAGTAATTCAAATGTCAATTAGCTTAATATAGGTATTCCAAAACGTATACCTATATCAAAGCATTTATATACCATAAATATATACAATTTTTCTCAATTAAATAAATAAGCAAACAAAATGGATGAAAGACTTAAATGTAAAACTGAAAACTGTAAAATTCCTAGAAGAAAACATGGAGAAATTCTCCTTGACTTTGGTCTTAGCAAGATTTTTGGATATGACATTAAATTCATAAGCCACAAAGGCAAAATTAAACAAATGGAACTGCATCAAACTAAAAAGCTTCTTCACAGCAAAGGAAACAACAAACAAAATGAAAAAGCAACTTATGGAATGAGAGTAAATATTTGCTAGCCATATACGTGATAAGGGTTTAATATACAAAACATATAAAGAACTCATACAACTCAACAGCAACAAACAAAAGAATACCCGATTCAAAACCAGTAAAAATGTCTTCATTTTTGGATAGAAGGACAGACAATGTATTCCCACTTATATATGAAAACTAAACTTGTCAAACCCAAAGAGACAGATAATAGAATGGTGGCTAGTAAGGGCTGGAGGAGGGGGAAATGAAGACAAAAAACCTTTCAAAAAAGGAGCTGGTTTTTTGAAAAGATGAACAAAAAAGATAGACTGCTAGCCAGGCTAGTAAAGAAGAAAAGAGAGAAGAATCAAATAGATGCAATAAAAAATGATAAAGGAGATGTCACCACCGATCCCACAGAAATACAAACTACCACCAGAGAATGCTACAAATACCTCTATGCAATAAATTAGTAAACCTGGAAGAAATGGATATATTCCTGGACACTTACACCCTCCCAAGACTAAACCAGCAAGAAGTTGAATCCCTGAATAGACCAATAACAAGGTCTGAAATTGAGGCAGCAATTAATAGCCTACCAACCAAAAAAGGTCCAGGATCAGATGGGTTCACAGCCAAATTCTACCAGAGGTACAAAGAGGAGCTGGTACCATTCCTTCTGAAACTATTCCAAACGATACAAAAAGAGGGAATCCTCCCTAACTCATTTTATGAGACCAACATCATCCTGATACCAAAACCTGGCAGAGATACAACTGAAAAAGAAAATTTCAGGCCAGTATCCCTGATGAACATTCATGCGAAAATCCTCAATAAAATACTGGCAAACCGAATCCAACAGCACATCAAAAATCTTATCCATCACATCAAGTTGGCTTCATACCTGGAATGCAAGGCTTGTTCAACATACGCAAATCTATAAACATAATCCTAGTTCTTTAAGAGGCATCATAAGGTTATTTGAAGTTTTTCTTCTTTTGTGATGTAGGTGCTTATAGCTATAAGTTTCCCTGTTAGTACTGCTTTCCCTGTATTCCATAGATTTTGGTATGTTGTGTTTCCTTTATCATTTGTTTCAATAAATTTTTTAATTTCCCACTTAATGTCTTCAGTGACCCACTGGTCATTTGGGAACATATTTAATTTCCATGTGTTTGTATAGTTTCCAAAATTCCTCTTATTGATTTTCAGATTTATTTCATTATGGTCAGAGAAGATACTTGATATTATTTCAATTTTTTGAATGTGCTAAGACTTGTTTTGTGACCTAACATAGTCTATCCTTGAGAATAGACCATGTTCTGAGGAAAAGAATGTGTATTCTGCAGCTGTTGGATGAAATGTTCTGTAAGCATCTGTTAGGTCTATTTGGTCTACAGCACAGACTAAGTCCAATGTTTCTTGGTTAAATTTCTGTCTGGAATATCTGTCCAATGCTGAAAGTGAGGTGTTGAAGTCTCCAGCTATTGTGGTGTTAGAATCAATCTTTCTCTTTAGCTCTAATAATAGTTGCTTTATATAGCTGGGTGTTCCAGTGTTGGGTGAATACATATTTACAATCATTGCATCCTCTTGCTCAACTGACCCCTAAAATTTCCTACTTACCTGTCCCATAAAATATGATTTTATGCTCTGTGTTAGCTTTATATTCCAATGTAACAAATTATCACAAGCTTAGCAGCTTAAAACAATATCCTCTTATTAGAGCATCCATCTTCAGGTCAGAAGTCTGGTATGGCACAGATGGGTTCATTGATCAGAGTATCATATGGCCAAAATTAAGGTGTTGGCTGATACAAACTTCCTGACTTCTTGTCTGGAGGCGCTAAAGAAAAGTTCACTCCCATGTTCATTCTTGTAGTTAGCAGAATTTTGGTGTTTTTGCAGTGATGTGAGATCCCCATTTCCTTTCTGGCTGACAGGCAGAGTCTGCTCTCAGCTCCTAGAGCTCATGATTTTGTCACTTGGCTGCCTCCATCTTTAAGCTAGTGACAGTGTACCAAATCCTTCAAGTCTCCGACTTCCTCTTCTATGACCAGCCAAAGAAAAGGGCCCTTATGGTTAGGTCAGGACTATATGGATAATCTCTCTATCTTAAAGTCAACTGTCCCGTGTGACATACCTAATCACAGAGTAGAATCCATCATATTCACAGTCCCAGGGATTACACAGCCATGGGGAGTTGAAGCAGAGGAAATCTCTGAGGCCATCTTAGAATTCTGCCTACCACATGCTTTGTTGAGCTGCATATCTGAGTTGGGCAATTGTTTTCCCTGAATTCTGGCCAACAAAGACTTTTAACTATTAAATAACATTTTTTAACCTTTGTTTGGAGAAAGTCTGTCTTTGCGTAAAATAGGTAAAAATTATTTCATTACAATGACCAAAATGATATTCACTGAATACTTCCTGTTTTTTTTAAAAAAATAGCAACTGCACCTGTGTACTATATATTATGGATGTTTAATTCAACATCTCAAATTTCATAGGGAGTTAGTAAAATAAAATTACTTTCTTTAAAAATTTAATTTTAAACATTGTTTTTTGTTGTTTCCCATTGAGTTATTCCAAAGGAATGCCTGCAGTTTCTGCTAACTTGTAGATCCATCCTTTTATAACATAAACTAAGGACTGTGCGATAAAGCATTCCAGTTGAAATATAAACAGATATATCATAGATAAGTAATGCTTTTTACTCCTGTGAATACAATTTATGCACTTAAAAGCTGGATGCAAAAGGAGCTTATTTTTAGAGATATCTTGAGTTGGGAGATGTAGCAAGCAATAGCAACACTAGCTAATTAAATCAAATACCATTCATGGTATCTGTTAGCATTTTAGGGTTCAAGATGAAACAAGATGGAAAAAGTGTATGATCCCTTGATAAGTATAACTTGCAACAAGTTGGCAAAAGGGTTAGAATTAGAAGCCAAAAATAGCAGTTTTGCTGTGTAAATTTTTTTTGCAATGACTTTATAGCTCCACATCCCAGATTGCATTACTCATTTTGCAAAATAAAGAGAACTATATTTTTAAAAACTATTTTAAATAAATTACTCCATCAAATTGACTAGTTTAAAGAAAATATTCCATGGACTGATGGCATTTTCAGGTTCTATATGGGAAAAAGAGAACCAAACTTTTTTGACACAGAATAACAAAGCCAAATATAAAGTATTAATTGCAAGTCAATGCAACTTAACTGTTTAGTATTATGGCTGTTTTAATTAAGCTGAAAATACCTAAGGTAATACCTTGTTTCTGAATTCTAGTTTAAATAACATAACATTGTTTTTCAATGTTGATGTTTCTATATGGAATCCATCTTAAAGCAATGCAATTAAGAGAATTCAAGGACTACAGTTGCCAGATATAAGATAAATGGCTGATTACAGAATATCATGAGTCTTAAAGAATGTGCTTTACCTTGGGGAAAGACAGGTGTGTGGAGACAGAGCAAGATGTCAGATTTTTCATGGGATATTTTTGTATTTTTATTAGAGGCACTTATGTTTAGACTCCTGATCCTTGCTTTGTGTCTGGGTCATGAGGCGTTCTTCAAAAATCTGAGGATTGGAAGGTCAGTTCTATGCCTACTGATTCCTTATTCTGACTATGTATTGGCTCTCTATGCCTCTGCAGGTGAGTGTCTCCAGAAATTTGAATAGGCCTTGACCTATGGATGAGCCAAGCACTGGTCAATACCCTGAAGTCATGAGTGTGCTCCTGTTCTAATAAACTCCCATTCACCCTACTGGTAGAGAAGGGGTCTCCCATGCTAAATAGTATGAGATGGCTGAACATGCAACACTTGATGTTAAACAGATGAGATTGACAGCAGTTAATTAGTCACATATACCATAGCCTGAGGGAGGAAGATGCTGTATCCCATCCAGGCAGGGCCACAAAGAGGTGGCACATCAGAATATACTAAGCAACCAGGGGCTTTGAGAGGCAGACTTTATAATGTCAAGAGGTGGAGGTGTCCATTGGTTCCCATGGAGGATGCCACTGGATTGTTGAAGTAATTTCACAGACCAGCAGGGAAGTGAAACCTGTTAGTTTGGTGACTGGGTTGAGTGAAGCTGGTCTGACTGATGGGGAAATAATCACAGGTTGGGGAGTTGGGGAGCCTTTTCCACTTAGTGGAAGGCATATCTAGGAAGAGCAGAGGAATTCATGGTTTGGCTTTGAGGGACTTGTGAGATTCAAAGATGTCAAGGCAGCACTTAAAATGTTAGGTCTTACAATACAGCTTGCATGAGAAAACAATTTAACAAACCAAGACCTCACACTGGCCCTATCAGGACAGAGAACAATCCCTAACCACTAGCCACTGTGAATTTTCTAAGTAAATAACAATAATTACAACAACAATAATTCCAGATCCTTATCTTAAAGTTGTGGGAAGGAAATTCCTTAACACATCTCTGCCTGGCTGCTTTATTCTTTCCTCTGACAACTATTGATCATGATTCTCATCACAATATTTATTCACACATTTGCCTTCTTTACTTTTCTTGCCTGAATAATCTCATTTTTTACCCAGGGGGAAAACCAGACTACTCCAGGAGGTGACCTGGTGTATGTTCAAAGTGCTCCCTGCTCACTTCCCTCTTGGCCTGAAGACTGTCATTTCTATGATGGGATGTTTCTGTTTTTTTCCAGAAAAGTACTACTGAAGTTCTATTTACATGAAGTGATTCATTTCCACCTTTTTGTCCCCCTCCCCGGTAGCTTAGAAAATGCCAAAAAACTCAAAGTACCTCATGCTGATGCTGAATCATCTTTAGATGTTCTTGGAGTATGACCCTGAGTTCACAAATGTGCCTATCACAGGAGAAGGTGCCCCTTGGCCTCAGCAGACACCAAGTAAAGTCACCCTCTGTACACCTGCTCAGCACCACCATGGAAATATAAAGAGTGTGTGCGAAAGGGAGGGAGGGAAAGAGAAAGAAAGTGAGAGAGAAAAATAAAGACAGCAAGAAAAAAAATTTGCAAGATTCAAGGAGATTCCAGGAAGCAATGCCATCAATAACATGTGTCACTCTTGATGACATTAGGAGCCAAATTCTGGACTTCACGGCCAGGCACCAGGGGAAGTTTTTGCTGGTACAGTCACTACATAAACTCCCATTTGGTCTTTTTGGTACCCCCCTGCCCAGCAGGCATCCTGTAAATTTTCTTGACTCTATTTCACAAGATTTCTGAACCTGCACATCCTCCCTGTGCAGTAAGTGCCAGCAAGACTGAGGTCACAGCAACACTCACTGCTGGAGTTTTGAGTAAGGTGATGGGAAGCAGCTGTTCCGTGCTCTGTTACTGAAAATCACCTGCTGCCTTGGAGAAGCTAAAAACCAACCACTCCAGAATAACTCCCCCTTCCTGCTTTTATGCCATCCTCATTTATTTATTCATTTATCTATTCAAAAACTATTTACAGAGCATCAACTATAGGCCAGGCATTCCTACCATCACTGCTTTGATCCAGTAGGATCTGTTCAGGCAAAGAAGAAGAAAGAAATGATGGAAATACAGGTGCAGTAAAGCCATCTCTAACTTATTCTCAGCCAGTTCATTCTGGATAAAAGGGAACATAAATTTCAAAATAGCTGAAGGTGTTGAGTAGAAATAATTTTTGAACTGTATGGTTTTCTTTAGGGTGTTATTTAAATCAACATTATATCAAACTGGTTTGGAGTTGAGAAATCTGAAAATAGAGAAATCAATCTTGTCATCTCATTTTGATCAGGTAATAGTACCTATTAAATAAAATCTGTAGGAGGCCTTTGGTTTGGACTGAACTCCTGCACCAGGGCCCAACAGACTAGACCAAAATGGAGTCACTTGTGCTAAGGTTCCACACCACTAAATAAAAACTGAGTTGTTTATCTTAAGTTCCAAGAAATCAGGAGAGAGAATCCAAATCCCCAAATGGTAGATTTTAGCTGTCGTGATAAGGAAGTCCACCACCCTCTCTACAAGGAAAGTAATTTTGAAATGACCACTCTGCTTTTTCTTCTTCATTTCAGCTTTCTTTAGCCCTGTTCTGTCTATAGAGCTAACCTCCTCTGCTCAGCAAAATGAAACACTCATTCTACTTTATAGAATGAGATATCGCCTGATTCTAGACTCATCTGTAAGAACCAATTAAGAGCTGTAAATTAAATTTGTTGTAATTTTGTCTTTTAACATACCTAACCCTGTGAATGTCATTTTTAAACACCCATAAATATTGCTAGGGTTTTCTAAGAACTCTATTTAAGATTGACATTGTTTTCAAAGTGCATGAATCAAATTTTAGTTGCTAGTAAATGTATTATTTTTAAAATTCCATTTATATAGGAAAACTATTAGATCCCCAATGAAGCTGATAAGTATTTTTTTCTAAAATGCTAAGAAATAAGTAAGTTCTCATTGCAAACCCATACTATAAGAAAAGTAGTGTCCTCATTGGTTTGAAAGAAAATTAAAGGTTATTTTCTTCTGAGCAGTATATTCACAAATTTTTAATCACATATTTGGTATAATTTAGCTTATTGAAAATTCTCCATCATTTTCAAATGTTAACCTCAGAAATAAAAATGAAAATCAGTGAACTTCTGAATCCATTAAGAAAAAGTGGAGAGTAAGAAGGTCTGGAGATGTCGAAAAAGTTATGTCGAAAAAGTGAGATTTATTTTTAATAATTTTTGTAAACTGAGTAAGAAATGCCTTCTTGAAAAAAACAACCAGAAAGTTTATTGTCGATGTGCTCATGTGTTAAATACACTAAATATTTCAGATGGCCCTGGCCTGGAGATTAATGAGAAAAAGCAATGGGTCTTACCATCTCAATTTTCAATGGCGTGAGATCATGAAGTTATAAGAATTTAGTTTAAATATAAAATACACAAACCTATGATTCTATGTGTATGTGTTTTTAATAAACAGAGAATGAGCTTCTATGTTAAGTAAAAGCTTAAACCATTATTCAATCTGAGAAAACTAGTAGAGATTGTGTTCATTCTTGGTATCAATGCCACAGTGAAGAAAACTGCAGATAAAGTAGAAATCATCCCCAACATTTGAAGACAGTCTTTTCCTCTATTTCATAACTTAAAATGGTAATAAAGCTGGTAGTTGATTTCCCCAGCCTCTAAATAAGATCCCAGGCTGGCCAAAACCTTGAAGCCCTGTGCGAGAGACCCTGAGCAGAGAACCCAGTCAAGCTGCCTGAATTTCTAACCTGCAGAAATGTGAGAGAATAAATGAGTCTTGCTGGAAACTGATAACGTTGTAGCTATTTGATTGTTTTCTGTTGCTGCATATCAAATTAAAGAAAGTGATCAATCACTAATTCTCTGCTTCTAAATGAAATTCCAAAGGATCAGCCAGAGTCATGCCTCATATCTGCCTCATCTGATTCTCAACAATCCTAGTCCCAACTTTACTTCCTTTTGCCCATTCCCTACTGGCCACGTGCATGCTACGGGATGCCTTTTATGGTTATGACTTGGATGCCAAATGCCATATTGTTGTATATCTACCCTGACTTTGCATCCGTGGACCTACTTCATAAGAAGCATTTTCTGGCGCAATGCTGGACTCCATACCCTCAGAACTGCTAACACCTCCCTCTTGATTAGCCCCAATGCAGACTCATGTAAATTCTAACAATTTATTTGTCTTGTTTTATCACAGAGGGATGACCTCCTAGAGAGAAAAATGAGAATGGAAAACATTTCAGAAGAAAATTAGTCTGATTTGAAACTGACTAGATAAAGAGGATAAAGAAAAAGAGCCAAGTGTCGAGACTGGGGGGCATGGAGAATGGTGAGGCCACTGTCAGTTGTGGCAGGACCCCCGGGGAGCTGGCTGTCAGAGGCAAGAAGATGAGATCAGTTTTTTTCATACTGAGTATAGTGTTAGAGGGATATCCAAGCCCAGCCTATCCTTCTTAAAACCATAAGCTTGTTGAGGCCAGAGATGCTATTCATTTTGTCCACCTCCTATAATGTCAGCAGCATTTTAAGTGCTCATTAAATAGTCTTCATTGAATTAATAGAGGTGTAAGTTATTCATTTAGCAATTTTAAGTATTGAATTAAGGTTTGGAAAGAAGGGTGTTGGAGATTACATCTCTAACAGAGTAGTAAAAGTATTAGTCTTAAGCCACAAATTAATGTTAATTTAAGAAGAAACTTTACAGGAAGCTCAGAAGAGATGAAAACCAAACACACATTGAGTGTTAGATGATATTACAATATTACAGACTGTTAATTTGGGAGGAAGTGATAATGAGATTGTGGTTGTAGATTTCTTAAAAGTCCTCTTCTGTTTACAATATATACTAAAATAATTGTGAGTAGAAACAAATAATGTCTGGGTTTTTATTTAAACTATCCCCTCCAAAAAAGTGTCAGGCATCGGGGGTTGAGAATAATGGCAGAAAAATATATAGTTATGAAAGATGGTTGATACATGCATAGAGGTTCACTGGAAAATTCTATGTTTGTGTTTCTTTGAAAAGTATCATAATGAAGGTTTGCAATACAGAAGGAAAGAAGGAAAGCTCTGAAAACAAATAAATAGCTGCACCTAGTTGTCAATTATTTTTCACCAGCATCCAGTTTGTTGGGTTGTAGAGATTTGCATCTATTTTTGTCTTTACAGAGTTTTCATTCTTCTATTCATCAAATGCTTACTACATAGTGACACCATGCAAGGCACCATACTAGAATTGGGTTGACATAAGAGATAAACATGTTACGTGGGAAACCAATATAAGGTGTTATTTTTACCATAAAATGTAATCATTTTGCAATTCAACATGAAATCATCCTCACTGAAAGGCTGTAAAGTACATGGTCAAAATACTTCCTTCTTTTGTTCTAATGTCCTGAAAACAAGGATTCACCATTATAACCCTATGTGTCAATACTTGAAGTAGGGAATCTGATCATTCTGACTCCATCAGGGGAAGCCAAATTTAGAAAGAGTAACCCCTGCTCCAGAGGGGAGCTAGGAGGGGGGCAATGCCCACCCAGTCAGAAGAGGCACCACTCAGCCCCAAGCAGCCCCTGACCTAGTCCTATAACAACAACCCCAACAGAGAAGTTAATCTCCTTAATGGAAAACAGATATGTTTTTTTACTTTCACCTATTACTGTTCTGATCTTAAACATTTCCTGCCTCTACTCTGCTCAGCTAAAGGAAGGTAAAGGAATGGAGATCCATGATGTCATCAAGCACACTCAAGGTGAAGCACAACAGGCAAGATTATTTGTAAAATACCTTTCTTCTCATCTCTTGTCATTGATACCCAGGGAGTGGAAAAGGAAGGAAGGAGCTTGCCAGATAAGTGAATAAAATGTGGTAGGTAGACAATGAGCACTTTGCTCTTTGTTTCTAGGTAATTCTGTTTCTTTGGTGGCACAGGACTGTGAGCTAAGAAGGGTGAATTCTGCTGGGTTTATTAAATGTCAGGATTGTGCTTGGAGAAGATATGCAGCATTTCTGACATGCACAGATTCCCCAAGCCTGGAACCATATCCACTACACTGTGGTTTATTCTTTTTAGTCATAATAGGAGAAAATGGTACCATGTTAAGGACAAGGTTTCGGAACAAATGATCTAGAATAGTGTAATTCAGCCGTCATCTGGCCCTAATATCTTCAGAAAAATCACAATGTAGTGGATAGGGTTCAAAGTTTGAGAACAAGAACCCCAAGATCAAATCTTCACTGTGCTAATTACTGGTGTAAAAGAGTCACTTAACTTCCTTGGCCTTGAGATTCCTGGCTTGAAAAGGGGCTAGTAATGCAGTCCAGGGTGGTTGCTGAATGGTTAAGTTGGGCATCCATGTGCATGGGTAAGGTGTTCTCTATTCCACTGAATAACCCAGATACAAATTTCTCAAACCAAAGCTCAGGTGTATGAAAATGTAAGCTTATACTTTTCTGTGGTGGAATTTAGATTATATCTTCACCTCCCATTCCTTCCAGTAGCAGAAATTAGTTAATTCCAGGTAATTAGGTTGCTTCAAGATATTCATTTCAAGAGTGTTGAACATTCATTTTTATTGTATGAGCATGAGCCTTCTTCCTTTGGGTGGGGCAGAGGTTATGGAATGCCACAATAAAGAAGAGAACCCCCCCCCAATAAGGATCAAAGCCAAAAGTAACTGGAGAGTGAGCATATGACTAATGTTGGCCAACAGGATACTCCTACCCAGGACAGGAAGTCCACAGTGCATAGGAAATGAGAGACCCTGGAGAATTTATTCTGGCAGCAGCATCAGTGGCAGAGGTTAACTGTAGTGATGTCCTGTGTCCATTTATGAAGTGGCCTTGCCAGTAGTGGTGTCATCAGCATCTAACCAGAAGCTTCCTGTGCAATGGTTTTGGCTGAAGCCAGTTCTTCCCTTTTCCTGAGCCCATTGATTCTGAAAACTCTCTCGTGTCCTTCCCATAAATTCCTTTTCTGTTCACGTTAA